GTTGAGAGGTGACCTGATAGAAGTTTATAAAATAATGAGGGGTATAGATAGAGTTGATGGTAGTTGTCCTTTCCGTAAGATGGGGATTTTCAAGACTAGGAGGCACATTTTTAAGGTGAGAAGAGACAGATTTTAAAAAGGCATGAGAGGCAAATTTTTTACACATAGGGTGGTTTGCATGTGGAATGAACTTCCTGAGGATGTGGGTACAATTACAATGTTTAAAAGACATTTGGTTGGATATATGAATAAGAAAGGTTTAGAGGAGTATGGGCCAGGAGCAGGCAGGTGGGACTAGTTTAGCTTGGGAATAGTTTCTGTGCTGTATGACTCTATGACTATGATTCTATTCGCATTTCTGTTTTGACATCCTGGAGGTTACCATTGACCAGAAACTGAACTGGACCTGCCATATAAGTACTGCAACTACAAGAGTAGGTCAGAGGCCAGGAGTGAGTAACTAATATCCTGACTCCTTAATTTCTGTCTATTATCTACAAGAGACAAGTAATGAATGTCATAGAATACTCTCCACTTGCTCGGATGAGTGCAGCTCCAGTAACAATCAAGAATCTTGATACCATCCAGGATAAAACAGCCTGCTTGATAGGTACCGCATTTCTCAAACATCCATTCCTTCCACCACTCAGGAGCAGCAGTGTGTACCATCTTGAAGATGCACCACAGAAATTGCCCAGTGCTCCTTAGATAGCACCCTCCGAACTCATGAACACTCGCATCTAGAAGGACAAGGAGTGGAGATATATAAGGGCAGCACCTCCTGTGAGTTCCCCTCCAAGCCATTCACCACCCTGACTTGGAAATATATCACTGTTCCTTCAGTGTTACTGGGCCAAAATCCTGGAACTCCCTCCCTAATGGCAAGGTGGGTCTCCCTACAGCAATGGACTGTAGGGGTTGCAGAAAGCAACTCACCACCACTTCTTAGGGGCAACTGGTGATGTGCAATAAATGCTGGCCGACCTACTGATGTCCATGTCCTGTGAATCAATGAAGAAAAAGCAATATTTATGAATACTGAGATTACAATATAAAATGGCTCATTTTGACTTAAAAGCCTTGAGCTACAGGATGACTTAAACTCAGCAAAAAGAGTGCCCATAACAATAGAACAGCTATAATCTGTAGCTAAACAATAGAACTTAATATGCAACATTCTGACAAGAAGGCCAAGTTACTAAAGACGCTGGATAAACAACTTACCCTCAGCCAGAATCAAAATAGCTGGAAGTTCTGGAAAAAAAAACAGGTTACCCTAACAAAAAAAATTACCTCAAGGAGTGGAGGCTAGAGTTAGAGTTTCTGGCAAGTGAGAATGAGAGAAGGAATGAGGGAGAAGGCAAGCCTCACAGCTGGAGAAGTTTGAGAAGGATTCAAAGCACAATCGGATAGGGACCTGAGATAGATTGAAGCAGCTTGGGAGAACTTGACTTTAGCTAGTTGTGAGGATTGTGGGGGAGTGTGTTGGTAACTAAAATACCCCTAACTCAGAGATAAGCTTTGATTTGTAAGATTATTCATTCCTAACTAGCGTCCCAGATTGAAGCTGAGGATGTGGAGACCTTAATAAAAACTGAAAGAATTGAAGACGCTGTAAATCAGAAACAAAAACAGAAATTGCTGGAAAAACTCAGCAGTTCTGACAGCATCTGTGGAGAGAAATCATGGTTAACGTTTTGGGTCGAGTGACTCTTCCTCAGACCAGGAAGGGTCATTCCCACCAAAATGTTTTCCTGCAGAAAGAAAAGATGTGGAAAAGGAAAGTTAGGCCCTTTAGTATCACCAGCTCTGAGGAGAGAAATAACCGTTAGAGACACAGGATGCCTTTAAACACTACTTGCAGCAAAGGTAAGACAATACCACAGTGCTGGCCAAAGGGCTTACTGACACATGATTAAAGGTTCCTTTTGTAAAGATTTACCTGCAGAATAAGTTGGTGAGTCACAGCTGGGGTTGTACCAAGCTTTCCCAGACCGAGGGTAAACCTATTACTTGGAAATGACTTGCTAGGTTCTGTGTCCCGAGGGTCTGAAGCATTTCACAAAGAATGGGGTAACAGCAAAACTCTGCTCAGCTGCAGAGAGCCGAGGAAATCCCTAAATCCAGAGGGGTGATAGGGCAAGCAAGGATTACAGAGACTGAAGGAAAGGCAATAAGAACTGAGGAGGCCAGATAAGAGCCTACTGAGTTTCAGGTGACCAGGATGGTGCCTGCTCAGTCTAAGGGGATGGACCCTGTGTAAGTTTAGAAACCAAGGCCTGGCCTGTAAAATTTAAAAAAGAATGAAGGGACTGAACCAGTGTTCTGGTTAGGAGATGTCTTCTCTCAGGAATTATCTAGGAATAAAGAAGTTTCCCAAACCAGACTATAAGGGTGATGCCTTACCCAGTTAAAGTTTCTTAGGGGAGTGCAGCAGTAGTTAGAAGCTGCCTCTTGGCAAGAGTGTCTCGGAGCACATGGGGCAGATTAAGGACCACTACAGCCCTGAGGTGAAAGGAAAGGGGAAGTTAACACACCCGAAGATTTGCTGCACTTACAGGAACCACGAGAAAATGAGATTGCCCACTAAATCATCACAGGGTCAGGTTCAAAACATAACCCAGTGCTTTAACTTCTGAGTCCATTGAGGACAAGATACAGAATCATCTGAGGAATAAAAGCCATTGAAAGAGCACAGAAACCATGGTTTGTGGAAGCATCCATGAATGGGTTAAAAGCCTTACAATGCAGCACATCAAAACAGGCAGAGGCACTTACACAGGACTGCCTTAGGAGCAGACCCTGGACCTGTGAAATCTGAGTCCTCCACATGAGTCAGTGTGGAATTTGAACTCCCCTCAACTTCTAAAAGCCTTGTGAATCATAGGTCTGATAGTATTGCAGTCTCTGAAACCTTGTATACAGCTATCATTGAATGGCCACTAGAGATCGGGGATAAAGTAAAGAACATAACCGGGGACTTTATTTTAAAAAGGAAGGTGACTGACAGTACTAGATTCCTGCTTGACTGTCAGAATATGTGCAGAATGGATGAATAGGTTTCTTTTTGCCTCACAGGGAAGCTCCATTCGGAGTCATGTTATACCCACTACAGACATGTCATTTTATGAACTGTCAATCAATACTTCTGAAAATGGACACCAATAAGTTGTTAAGTTGGCTGATGTAAATCATGTGACTTTTGGCATTTGGACCATAGACAATATCAACTCTCTGCCAAATACCTATTTAAAATCGAGAGCGGTGAGGACACCTCACAGCCATTTGTGGAATTCACACATTGCAGTGTTTAAGAGTGGGCCAATACCTAAAGACTATGGAGTTTCCAGACTGCTTCACATGGGGTCAAATAGAAGACAGAACTTAATGACCATTATCAACTTCCCATTATATCACGATGGACTCTGTCATCCAAACTAGACTGGGTGGGCCTCAGATATGTTAACCCACAACACAAAATGTGGAATAAACATGAACACAGCACTTCATTTGCACCAGACCTTGTGAAAAGCCACATGGTGAGACAATCATTTTGTTTTGTCTGTGTTAAAAGATTGGTTAAGTGCTGTTTGCAGGCAGATCCAGCAAAACCACTTTCCATTCCGAAACATACTAATTTTGGGCAGAAAAGCAGCACATTCATTCTGTCCATGAGATTATTATTTGATAAAGTTCCTTATTCTTCCTCACTTCTCAATTAATGTATTTGATGTTCATTGGCCCTTCTATGTCAGAGCTTTCATTTCCCACAAGCCTTGTAGCTTTCCTCTTGCTTTCTATCTTTCTATTTCTATTCTCGTAGCTTTAATTAACTGGTTGCCCTCTGTGTTCTCAGACATAGACATGCTCTTGCTTGTTGTAGTTACACCAGAACTTACAGTGATCAAATCTAAATGCACTTTCTGTGGCCTGAGGCAGAATATTCGCTCCATTGTAAGTGCAAGAACAGATGTGGGCAGACACATAAATTAACATCACTGACTGGCATGCCGGGTTATTGGCATTGTACCACCTCTGGGCTATTTTCCACCCACAAGACTCTGTGATGTCTGTAATATGTGGCCTCCTGGTTCCAGTGCAGGCAGCCAGTGCTGCAGACTGCTACAGTTTCCCCTCCACAATGGTGGCCTAGCAGTTATCGACAATTCTGAATTCAAAATTTGGAATTTAAAATTGCTTGGAAATGCCCTCTTTTTTTAAAAATCTGGAATGGTAAGTTGCAGCTCCTTCTATAGTTGGCGGCCTCCTGTTGGACCCCAGCTTCCAATCCACATCTACCATCATTAGTAGAAGTATGAGTGCCCAATGATAATTTCAGTGAAAATCCTGCTGGGTGACTGTTCTTGACACAATGCTGGCTCAGGAAAGCCATTTACTCCCAAAGTCCCACCCCAAAACCCCCAAACCTCCCTCTGTTTATACAATAAAGGATTTAAATAATATCCTGACTTTCAGAGCTTTTGACATCTGCATTTTGTGACAAAATTTTTACGTTACCTCCTTAGAAACTTGCATTATTTTATCATTTAAGAGACTTCAGCAAATGTGAGTCTTAAGGAATACAAGTACGAAGAGTATTTCTACAAAATGATCTGATTCAAAACAATGAAAATTGAGACATTTTCTGTCTTCTGCTTCCTTTTGTTTTTTAGACGGTTAAAAAGATCTTATTTCCTCTCCCCCATAAAGAATCTGGAAATACATTCGTCAGACCAGTTTTAGCCAAATTATCGTGGAATAAGTACATGATGTTGCAGTTATTAAAAATTACCACAGGGAGACAGGCTACTGTTGCTGAAAATATCTCAGTGCACTTATTAACAAGCAGTTTTTTTTAAAGTCTCTGTTGTATCAACTGTTTTGTTATCCACAAAATTCTTGTAAAGTCACTAAGTAAATTCCTGTGTTGTAATGAAGCAGCAAAGGAGGAAGTGAATCAAAAGTGAAAACACTTATTACATCAAGCTTTTTACCTATAGGCCATGAACCGCTCTCTGGTTAATGTGATTGTTGGTAGTTACGGCACTTCATCTACTGGAATTGGTAAACCCATGGAAATCACAGGCACTCACACTGAAGTCAGTGTGGATCAAACAGTTGAGATGATCAGAGAGGCCAAAGATATCATCATTACTCCAGGTCAGTGTTTAGATGAAAAATATTTTTTTTTTGTCTGAGGATGCTTTAAGAGGAAACTTGGGATTTAGTGTTGGCTTTGGAGGTTTGAAATTCCTGTGGTCAATGATCATGCTATTGGGTGACCTTTTGTAGCTGTCATTCCTGCGTTGTGTAGAAATACCATGTGTAACCCTGCAAGAGATTTTTCCAAATGGCAATGCTTATTTTGAATAAAGTTGCACATGATGTTAACCATGTTGGGTTTGCCCCATTTCCTGTGGTTTCACTCTGAATTCCTTCAAAGGCATCCAAAGACAAAATAGTTTTCAGTTTTGACTTTGATTGAATGTTTATCTTCTGTAAAAATGTCACGAGGCTGGATTTAATGTAGGATGATGTGAGTCTCGAAACTGGTTAGAAAACAGGTGAGAGGCACATATTGATCCTTCAGGAAGGCCTAAACAGGTTAAATACGGTGTCTAGGGTGTCCCCTGGGATTTTGGACCCCAATAGGAGATATACCTCCCCCCCAGGATCTTCCAAACAATCTGCATTTGCTGGCAGCATCACTGTCATCCCTGGTACTCCAAATATTGCTGCAGAGTCTTTGGCTTGTAGCTGGACCCTTGGACGCAAGTGAGTGATGGAAGGATGGAGCGGATGGGTAGAAGAGGAAGTCACAGGTAGATGCTTATCAGAGAGTGAGGGGAAGGCAGGGAGGTCAGAAACAGGGGCAGGGAATTTCAATGTCTACAACCCATACTCCCCTTCCCCGCCCATGCTGATCGGCTACGGGATGGAAGGGACCCCATCAATAAGCCACTGGCAAATCTGGCAGGGCTGCTAGGTGACCATTTGAATGTATTCCTGGGAAACCTATGCACCTCCCATTAATCTGCCAGCCACAGGTAAATAGCAGTGGGTTCAGTTGGTGGTCGAGCCAGCCTCTGGGTGCTGGCCTCCACAAGACCTGGCCCTCATTGTGTTTGGAAACTGGAGGCCAATTATGAAATTCTAGTTCATCCCCTTATCTTTAACAAGGCTTTTAAGGAGTCAGATTATTTCCCTGGTGTTGAACCCACTCTTGCCAAAACAATTGCATTGGGAAGAGGGTCAGGAGACTAGCACACAGGCTGGCCTTGTAACCTATGACCCTGTTTGCCTAATTCCTGACTTTGCCAGGGGTCTGTTGATCAGTGTCTATTACAGCACTTGTTCTACATCGTCAATGTTTCCCTCTTCAGCAAACGAGCCAAAGTGAGCAAGCAAAATTTTCACATCAGCCCCTTTCTGCCTCTGACTTAATTGAAGGAGGTTTACCTGATGTCAGTAGATTGACATGTGGCCTCTCCCACAAGTAAGTGTGCCCAGCCACCATATTTCCGACGGCGTTAGGCCAAATTGAATTCCCGCCAAGAATCCTGGAATACAATCAACAATTTCCTTTGGAACTGTGTCAGTTGGTCACCGCAACCTCAGTGGAAAAACACTCTTACCTCCAGAGTTTCCAGCATCCTCCAGTAAGTATATGGTGGGCGATTGGGAAGTCCCCAGAAGAAATGACCATGCATAATAATACAAGGAATAGGGGATAGGAAGTCCAGCAGCAGCTGTACAGACGAAAAAATATTTGTAAAATCTCTTATAATCCATGCTTAAGGATAGTTCAGACCTCTACTGAAGCATAGCTTTCTCAACTGGAAGAGTCAACTGGAAATTGGAATCTCAACTGATGTTTACATTTCAATTGTCAGTGTTCAGTTGATATTTATCACTTAAATAATATCACTAAGTCAGATTGTTTGGTAAATACTGCATTGCTGTTTGTTAACTTTGCTGAGCATAAACTGACTGCCTTGTTTCTTATGTTCTGACAGTGAATTGGTTTCAAAAAGCACTCATTTTGTTTGTGAAGTGCTGAAATATTGAGTTTATGGAAGTGCGATACAAATACATGTCTTTTTCAGTTTCCACTTGAGGTCTTATTTTTCTTATTTTTAACCAATCCATCCATCTAATACTGGGAAATGTGGTTATGCTACTTTGTTGCTTTTTTTGTAGCTAACTAATCAAACATTAAATCAAGTGAATGAGAGCCAGTTTTAGGCGCATATTGAATGGCTGAAGTTTCACTCGAGAGTCAGGTTGGCATCTGACCCTGACTCCACGATAGAACAACCTTCAGGAGCTTGCTTTACGCTGCTCAGGGGGTTATCATAGGTGCTGTCCCCAAGTGATTTCAAAACGTTATTACCAATGCAGTTAGCGTGAACAGTCAGTTGTTAGTGGTTTTCCCCTAATGTGAAAATCTAAACATTACACAGCTAATTGGAATTTTACACATTCATGCATGTGTATAAATGGGGGTTGGTTAGCCCAATTGCTAGACAGCTGGTTTTCAACAGAGCGATGCCAACAATGTGAGTTCAGTTCCCACATGGGCTGAAGTTATCACAAAGGACTCTCCCCTTCTCACCCTCTACCTTGCCTGAGGTGTGGTGACTTTCAGTTTAAACCACCACTAATTGTCCCTCTCTAACAGCAGAGCAGTGCCTATGGTCTGCTCAGACTGTGGCAAATTTACCCTTTACCTTTACATGTGTATAAACTCAAACTCCATCTTTGGCAAAAGAAACATGAAACAGCAGGTTAACTCAAATGATAAAATCACAGAAAAATCTGACACTCCCAGCTGTATAACTGATCCTAAAACTGTTCTTCTTGAGAAATCAAGCATCTTGAATTCAGGAAGGTAACGTGAACAGGGTGAGCAGAGTTAAAAACATATTAATAATGTGCCTTCATTTCAATCTTCAGTTGCACCATTTACTGAAAAATTTTAAAACATTTGAAATATTATTTTGATAAACATAGAGACTTGTAAGTGAGTAAGTAATCTTAACTGAATGATGAAAATGCCCTCACCTATGAAGTTTAAATGATTGGAGAATATGATAAGCAGTCATACTTTAAATGTAACCAAGTATCCACTGTTTGTGTTGGCACACCATTTGAAGTTCAACTTCGGGTTAGGCACGGAGTTGTTGAATATGAAATGTCAGAAGGACCACTTGTAGACTGTGAATCAGACATGCCTACAGATGGCTTATGTTTGGTCTTCATCCTGGTTGAGTTTTTTTTGCTATATTGATTCTTTAACCCATTATATTGTTAACCAATTTGGATGAGAAGAGAATAACAAGCAAAAATTGTGTGTTCGTTCAGACTTTTGATCCCCAAATTGCAAGTAAACCTTTTCAGATTAGAACCTCATTAATACTAATTGATTTTTATACCAATTAAGTGATGCTAACATATTCAAGATATTCAACTAAACAACAGTTTCAGTGGAAGATATGCTGTTGTGCCAATATGCTGCATCACAGAATGTGAAGACGCCAATTTGAGGCATGGTCAGTTCTGTATTAGTTGGTCTTGATAGTGAGGGAAATGAGAAAGAGAGCTTTCTATAGAGAAGAAACGCAAGCAACGTTAATTAAGTCATGACTTCCCTTATTTATTCTGGTGACCTCCAAATCAAACAAAAGCATCACCATATGGAATCTTATTTTCTTTGATAATTTTATCAGCAAAGAAACAAAAAGAGCAGTATGAATGCATTAACCATGTATTTGTCCACAGACTTTGGGGATGAATCTCACTCAAACGAAGGTTTGGAAATTTAGTAGGAATCAATGTTTTTCTTGTTAAGGATTTATTACTTGAGCAACTTGTACAAAGTTACACAGGAAGATATAAATGAAAAGATGAATTTTGAACTCCAGGTCAGACATGTTTTAGTTCATTAAATGAAAAGCACAATTTGAGTATCACTGCAGCATTGCAGTGTATTGGAATGTTTAGTGCAGACATGTTTCTTGGCATGAGATTATAGCAGCAGTTGTTGGGAACTTCAGTTCAGCAGGAGATTGCAGCTTATGCTAGCAGGGGACATAGGAAGTACAGGAGCTACCAGAATAAACAATTGTAAATAGTGATTAAAAGAGAGAGAGTTACAAGATAGCACAGTGAGGGTTCAGTGAGTGATGGAGGTCAGAGACAGCAGGGACTGCTTTGGAAGAAAGCTACTTTTGCAACGTTAGAACATTTGTCAGGATTGAAAACATGTACCAACACTTATTATTCACTTTGACCTATGAATTAAAAGTGATCAAATTGATGATTTGATTTTGATTTAATTTGTTGTTGTCGCATGGACCTAAGTACAGTGAAAAGCTTTGTTTGCAAGTAGTACAGGCAGATCATAGTAAGCAAGGACTTACAGAGTAAGACATACAGGTTATACTGCATAGGAGGACCGCGAAGCAAGATCAACATTAACAAGATCAACATTATTTGAAGTTAGAGAATCCATTCATCAGTCTAATATTGAATCAAAGGTTGGTGTGCTTAATTATGCTAGTTTATTTATATCCGTGATTACAAGTTCAAAATAGTTGCAGAAAATTAAATAGCTACAAAAAATGATTACACTTTTAACTTTTTGAGAACGAAAACTAAAATAATAATATAAGAAACAGCTACTTTATTACTCTACTTCCAGCAAATAAATATCGAGCATTAGAATTCTCAAATATGTTACAACCAGTTGTGCAGTCATCTGAGGTGGCGATTCCTGTGGATTGCTAACTCTGCCTCTGAAGTTCACTTCAAGCTCCCGATAATTAATCAGATTCTTTCCGACAGATGCTCGTTCCAGTTTTCATCAGCACTTGATTGCAGTGCTTGTGTCTCGCACCATCCCCCCCCACCCCCCCAGCCCCCCGCGTAGCAAAAGTGTCAGATTTTCATGAAGTTAGCAAGACTCCTTGGATAATTAAAATAGTGCGTGGGACATGGATGTAGAAGTCTCGCTTCCATTGCCAACATATCCCATTTTTGTCAGCAGAAGGTGGGGAACAATTCACACAGGTTGGAAAACCAAACTCGTGAGGGATTTGAACATAATGCTGAGTTCAAACAGACTTCATTTTGGCCTGACCCACAATATGGGACGCAGA